CCCCCCCCCCCCACCACACCACCTGCCCCCCTGCTTCATACAATTGACTGTCAGGTGCACCCAGGAGCCGTTGGCAAAATCCTGTTCAGGGCTGTGTTGGTCCAGGAAGAGCACACGGCACTCGTACCAACCCTGGTCTTCCACCCGGAGCCCCTCAATCTGGAGAGATGCTCCTGTCTGCAGTCGGACTCGCCCTGTGAGGAGGGAAGTCCTGAATCAAGGGGGATGAATGAAGGAACTCTGCAGGAGGCCCCCCACCCCACCCCCAGGCCTGGTCACACAGGCCATTCCCAGAGGTGGAGAATAGCCTAAGCCTGTTATCCAAGAGTGAGGGTCTGCAGAGGGACCAATAGGATTGAGGTCACTGAGGGCAGATTGCTATGTTCAATCCTTCCGACTGTGCCTGCCTTTCAATAGATAGCTGAGATCCAGAGCAGAAAAAGTCAAGGCATAGTAAGTGGACAAAATGCTCCCCTCAAATACGCCAGACTTCCCAGACTGTTAGGGGAAGGAGTGAAGAGCCAGCGTTTGGTGGTCCTCTCTGGACTTCTACAAGATTCACCATCCCTGGCATCCTTTATAAGACTAAGATATAAGTCCTCTGGGGGTACTCCTGCTTTTAGAGGACTGTGTCCCTGGAATCCCCAGCAGTCTTTGGGGCCCTCCCAGGGACCCAGACCTCGCCTGCCAAAGCCCGTAATCCCTCAGAGCTATTATCAGCGGCCTAAGCGCCTTAGAGTGGCCAGAGTCCAGCCCAGCCAGGCCACAGTGTCAGCAGCCCTTCGCCACACATCCCATCCCCTCTGTGCCCCAGCTGACTGACCACATGCAGCCCCACAAAGCCCCACACCCCAGCACAAAAGGACACCTCATTCCCGCCAGGTCAGCATTCACAGCACACCACCCGGCCGACTGAGATGCCCACCCCACCCCTCAGCACCCTCCTCTGAGGGAACCCTGCACCCTGAGAGCATTACAAGTCCCCTAGCATGTGAGAAAGGCACATGCTTGGCAGCCCAAAACAGCCAGGCATGAGTCCAGCTCAGCTGGAGGCTCCTTTGGGCAAGTTACGCCGTGACCTGTCCATTTCAGTTTCCTCATCAGTAAAAAAAAAAGAGAGAGAGAGAAAGGGAAAAACTGGGATGAGGTGGAAGGCCAGAGATGAAGCAGGGGAGGTACAGAGCACCTGGCATCACTGGATGCTCAAATAAAGGCTGTTAAATAAATGAATCAGATGCACATTTGAGCCGGGCAGTGGTGGCGCATGCCTTTAATCCCAACACTCGGGAGGCAGAAGCAGGCAGATCTCTGTGAGTTTGAGGCCAGCCTGGGCTGGGCTACAGAGTGAGCTCTAGAAAAGGCTCCAAAACTACACAGAGAAACCCTGTCTCGAAACCCCCCACCACCACCACCAAAAAAAAAAAGATGCATATTTGCATTTGAAATCAGAAGTCTACACTCAATCCTGGGCCCGTCCCGCATCTGATAACGTATCACCTCCCTTTCCTCTTCCACATCAGTGAACTGTACCACCATGCACCAAGTTGCCCTCTGGGGAAGACTGGCACTACCTGGATTCCTCCACCACCCCCTGCCATGTAGTTATTCATTACATCTCCCAAACCCTACCTCCTAAGCACTAGTATTTCCCTCTCTGCCACCTTCCACCTCAAAGTCTGCAGTGTGTCTCTCCCCGGATTGTCCAGCTGCTCCATCCCACCTACACTTAACCAGTTGCCCATGCTCACTTGACCTTTGCTGTGAACAGATAGAATTGTCTAAAATTCACAGGATGGGCAAATGTAGCTCCCAGGTGGTGCTTTCAGAGTTCTGCCTAGCCTAACCCTCCCCATCAGTAGCAATCCTGAAGCTGCTGGGGTACCCACCCCCTCCAAGCTGCTTCCACTCTGCTCCTAGGGCGGCCTCTCTGAGGTAGACACTCAGCCTGCTTGCCCTGGGTTGCCACTGGAGAAATGACAGCCATAGGATTGAGGGTGGGTAGTGGACCTTTCTTCTTCTAACAGTTGGCCCCTGGGTGTGTGGATTCTTTAGACTGGGTGGACCTTCATATAGGTCTAGGTGTAGAATCCCCACCCAGAAGATAAAAATGGGCCTAGCAGGTAAATATTTAACATAAGAATACAGTACCCTTCCTCATACCTAAAAGGTTCCTGTCACTCTAATCTGACAGGCCACTGAGCCCAGCAGACCCCAGACTGCAGCTTCCTACACACACACACACCTCACCCCCCCCCCCCCCCCATCATAGAACTTCTCATTATGGTAATCACTGAGCTCCTGAGCAAAGGAAGAAAGACTAAGCATTGAATATGAGCCGTGTAATATTAGACAGTCACCATATTTAATCCGCCCCAAAAAATCCATTATTGATGAAGGAACTAATGTTAAACTTCTTCCCAAAACTGCATAGCTATTAGGAGATCAAGCCAGGTCTCCCAAAGTCAGTGCACTTTCCAGTGAACACCGACATCAGAATCAAATAATGTTCAGGACACTGAGCATAATCTCTGACTTCACTTAAGAAATGTTACCGGCTAATGGCTAACAGTCCTGGTGCCAGTTAACCAGATTATTCAGTGCAGCATGTTGTACAAACTCACCTCCCTAGGAGGTCCAGACTGCTGGGCTGCAGTGTTTCGGAACGAGAAGGTGACCAGAGTGGCAGTCCTATCACTTCCTGTCCCCCGGGCCCACTTCCTCCTCTCGGCCTGCCCTCCACCTGCATGGCCAAACCTAATGGACTTCAGATCTGCCTACATACAGAGTCTGAGAAGGACAGAGTCTGCTCTCCTGGGGTCCGCAAAGGCAAGAAACCCACACTAGATTTAAGCATGAACATGGACAAGTGTATGCTCACTCCGAAGCTCAGAGCACAGCAGTGACCATGCCCACACACGGCACTATGAAGCCAGAGGCATAAGGAAGCGTTCTGGGAAGATGCATCGAAGGCAGACAGCTTGGAAGGATCAAAGGCAGGAAGGGGGGATTATTAGAGTGAGCTTGGGCCTTCTAGATGGACAGTCAGAGTTGATTTATCGAGCAATCCAGTCTAGTCATAAAACACAAAGTCCCTTCTGCTCTGCTGGGCATCCCTGAAACACAGCCCCAAAGTCAACGGACTGATTCAGGCTTAGTCTAACATCCATCCCAGGAAACCTAAGTCCAGATCGCCTTTCCCCAATTCCTGGTCAGTTTCACACCACCCAGGTGCTACGCTAAATACTTTAAATACAGTAGCTAACTTAATTAGTCCTAGATCATTTTATACTGCCTTTTACTACTTCTGTGCTAGTTTATACATCTAGGTTTCCTCTACTCCACAGCTTCCAGAGCCCTCCAAAACCAGCTTTCCCTTCAGCGTGGCTCCCAGAGCTACCATCTCTCGTGATTGCTCCCACACTCTAGGCCACCAGCCTCATGCAGTCCCAGGCCATCTCCCCTCCACTTGCCCACAGGGTTTATGACAGAACAGCATTGTCCTCAGCAACCTCCACCTCCCGTTGCTTAGCAACCGCAATTGTGAGTCCCCCAGCACAAAGGCGGAGAGGCCCTCCTTCTGAACTGTGAAGCCATAAAGGGTTAATGGGCTCAGAGGCCTCCCTCTGGGGTCTTCACCAGAGCAGGACCCATGGGGCTCCAGGCCACTCAGGGGCAAGAGTGGGAACAAAGGGAAGAGGGAAACCCAAAGGCTGGCGACACCCAGTCCTTAGAGCTGGAGAAAACCCACAGGTAGACCGGGGAGCCAGCCATGTCCTGGCTTCTCTGCCTAGGGGCCCAAAGACAATGCAAGACTAACTGCAGCAAAGGCAGGTGGAGTCCCAGGGAAAGCCCTGCCCACCTCGCCTCCACTCCCCCCTGCCTCGCCTCCGCCTGGCAATAATTTGAATTTGTCCAGCCTCAGCCCTGCAGCCAAAGGCCCCCCGGGCACAGACAGGCACAGACAGGGAGGCTGCCTGGGCCTGCTGTTTCTCTCTGCTTGTGCTAATTGAGGCCCACTTTCTCCAAGTCCCCAAGGCTTGTGTAGACACACACACACACACTCCCAGCTAGGCTGTTTGCCAATAACTGCCCCCAGTTTGAAAATAAACTCTCCGGCAGGCACCTGCCAGCGCCTCCTCCCCCCTCAGCTCAGCCAGCCAGTGACAAGAGCCCAGCCAATCCCAGGATTTCCCTCAGGATTCAAACCAAAGACAGAAAAGGTACCCCATCAGCATCTCTCCAGGTGGCCTTTTCTGGGTTTCACTCCGGCAAAGGAAGCACCAAGGTTCGCTCTGCTCTTGCCCAGCAGCCCAGACCCATCCCTTAGGGCCTCCTACAGATTCTCTGACACCTTACTCAGATTGGGGCTCCATCCAGGATCAGGAACATGCTGGGGTGCAGGAAAGAGGTCTTCTTCTACTGGGAGGTCTACACAGTCCACCTCCACCGGAGCCTCCAGAAGCGACCCAGCCAATCCCATCTCTGCCTAGACTTTCGGGGGAACTGAACTGGATCCTCCCCCAGCGACCCCCGGTCTGTGTTCATGTTCTCTGCTACTCAATCAGACGATGATGAAGATGACGACGACGCTCCTCATACCCAAAGAGCTCGCATCCCTACCCACTCTGCGGACCCTTCAGCCCACTCCCTAAAAGCCTGGAGCCTCCACACCGGCATTTTGGACAGCAGGGAAGGGGAAGACACGGAGCAGCAGGTAGCAGACCCAGAGACCGGCACAGGGTTAAGTGGGGGGAAACTACAGAAGATCAAGATGGAGTCTGGAAGGTTGCATGAAATGAGGATCGAACAATTAGCAAGTCAGGATGGAAACCTGGAACAGGGCCGCAGGATCTCCCGTGCAAGACGCCACACATAGCTAAAAGAAGGAGCAAGGCTCTAACGTGTGCATGCATCGTGTATAAACAAACGGATCCTTCGATGAATTAGCACTACCGGGGAGCAGGGCCATGCTTGCTAAG